TGCTTGGGACGCAGCTCTGGTCTCAGCAGAACCCAGACGAGTGGCTGTTGCCGATGGCCGGTTTGTCCCCGCCACTCATTCTTTCTGTGAGTGGCAGGCACATCACAGCGGAGATCCGACTGGGAGGGGGAGAGGCGGCGCTGCCTGGGTGGTAGTTTTATGGAAGATTTGGGGCCTTGTTTGTCATAGACGTAAAACCTGATTTAACTCAAAAATCCTGTAGCGTGCACTAATACCTTTCCAGAATGCCTGCTCTCCCTTCCCTGAGCATGGTGGTGGGACTGTGTGAAGCTTTGCTTTTCCTTTTTCTTGCTTTGATTTATCTGAATGCTTTTCCCTGCCTTCTGTTATTTTTTTTTCTACTTTCTTCATGAACTTTGTTCCTGATTTCCATTTTTTTTTTTGCCTTTGAGCTTTTTAGAGTTATCTCCCTCAGGTAGATTTCTAAACTCTTAAGGCTCACTTTATTTTCTCAGCAACTTACTTGTATCTCTGATATGATCTCAGTCCGTGAACATTAATCAACAGAAAACCACATCCATCATCGCAGACACTGCCATAGAGATACCACTCAGGTCTTTGCCCTGCCCGTCATCTTATTCTGCAAAGCGGGACTCAATTTCCCATAAGCAGAAGCAAAATCTCTATTTAAATCCCACTTGCAAGGTCTGGGCGAGCTTCCTATTTATAGTAAAATCCTTTTTATAATGATCTCATATACGGTACCAGGAAATTGCTCATGGCTGGGTCAGGCCATAGGCCAACCTAGCCATGATGTGAGATTTACTTAAAAAAGTTCCTTCATGAGCCTCTGGAATTCTCCAGAGAAGTGTTTTCATAGAGTAGATGACAATAAACAGGATCACCCAGGATGGATTACTGTAGTAGGGACATTAAATTTAAGTTCAAAGGGAATTTCCACTTTTATCAGGCCAATCTCAATAATTTTTATCGCTTTGGGCTTCCTAAATATCATATTGGGTGAATCAGATTGACTCTAAAGAGATTTATGAAATATTGTATATGCAAGGTAGGGCTGGAAAATGTTTACCTCTGGACTTCCCAGGAGGCAGAGAAGTGTGATTAGAGGCACAATCTCTGGGGACACAGACAAACTGGGGGTGAATCCTGCCTTTGAAGAGCCCAACTGAGACTTGGAGCCAGCGCTTTAATTGCTCTGGATTTCAGTTACTGCATCTGTCAAAAAAATCCCTACTGCACAAAGTTTTTGCAAGAATCAATGAAATAACATATATAAAGCATCCAGCAAAAGATTTGCCACAGTTTTGTGGTGTGATAAATGTCTGCTTCCTTTTCTTCTCAATATGCAGTTGAACAAAAGGGAGGCTGAGTGGATAGGCATGACCTGGTGTCCTCTTCTCAAGAGACAATGAATCATTGTCTTCTACATTCTTGTGTGTTTGGCGCAGAATGATGTCTCACCTCCCACAGGATGGGTAAAGTGTTATTCTTCCAGTGATGCAGGGCCACTGGCTACCGACTTCTGTGTACTCTGGGAGCTGGCCATGAGACCAGGTGACAGACCATTTCATGCACACAGGGACCAGGTCTCCTCTGGTAGGGAAATAAACCAGGGGCAGTGAATGATATCCGGTGGTCCCAGGGCATCACTGTGCCACCCACTAACATCCCTGCCATCCCTCTCTAAGTCACTCATCCCACAGATTGTAGGGGTTCCAACAACGAGTTAGACCTGGTCTCCAACCTGAAGGAGTAGATCTATTTAATATGGAGAGATGACAATGTAAAACAGGGAGAGGAGGCACACAGACATGTGTATAAACAAGGGTCACAATGGTGATATCAACAGTGCCCTCCCTAGGGCATGACTGGTATGTTTTAGCTGAAGTTTGGGAGAGCTCCGTGGGAGAACCGTTGCTTTGAAACTAATCTCAAGTACCAAAAAGTAGAAGAAAATCAGGTGCATAAGCAATTAGTCCATTCCACACCATCTGACCACAATGGAAGGATACTTTGAACTCACTATTGTAAGAAGAGAGTAGAAACTGAAGTGAAAATGATTTCTCTGAAAATAAAACAGCTGTGCATGATCACCTTATATACTGGGCCATTGCCAGTATAAAGGTGATGTACCTCCGCACCCCAGCTGGCCTGGCATGTCACTCCTGCACACACCAGGGCCTATACATGGGATTTTAGAACCTCCCTCACCCCTTGGACAGGAACTCTGTGTGGCCAACAGGATGCTGCTCTGACTCCCATCTCCTCAGAAGCTTCCCTTCTTCAGATGAATTCAGTTCTTTTCCTTTGGTCTTTTTACAAAGGCTCAATTCCTCCATCACTGCCTGCTTAGCTCTACTAGATCATTTCTGAATTTTTTATTTCTTGTAGTATTAGAGTTCCTGATTCAATAGGGTGTTCTACCAATGGTCTGTTGGTAGTGAATGCTGTGTAGAATTGTATTAGTCCATTTTTATACTGCTAGGAAGAAACACCCGAGATTGGGTAATTTATACAGAAAAAGAGGTTTAGTGAACTCACAGTTCCACCATTTTCATACTGCTAGAAAGAAACACCCAAGATTGGGTAATTTATAAAGAGAAAGAGGTTCAATGGACTCACAGTTCCACCTGGCTGGGGAGGCCTCACAATCATGGCAGAAGGCAGAGGAAGAGCAAAGGCACGTCTTACATGGTGGCAGGCAAGAAAGCGTGTGCAGGGGAACTGCCCTTTTTAAAACTATCAGATCTCAGGAGACTTATTCACTATCACAAGAACAGCTAGGGAAAAACCTGGCCCCATGATTCAATTATATCCCACTGGGTCTCTCCTATAACATGTGGGGATTATGGGAGCTGCAATTCAAGATGAGATTTGGGTGGGGACACAGCCAAACCATATCAAGAATTAATCTGAAAGCTTTTATACTCTGTATTTTACTTCCTCATCCTCATACATTGCAAAGGATACAGTGTGTTGGAGAAAATCAGAGTCTTTAGTTGCTTAAAGATCTTGTGAATGGGGAGGAAATTGAAAATTATAGGAAGTCCCTAAGAGTATAGGAGAAAGATAGCTGAGGAGACTAGGTCCCCTGCAAGTTTTTATGGAATGATATACATGGGATTCTCTGATTGCCTTCCATGCAGGAAGCTACCTAAGTAACAACTGGCATCTCCACATATTATATCTAGCTCATATCAATCATGACACTTAACTTTGGTTTACCCTCAGCCCCTAAATTTAGTATACCCTATCTCCTCTTTCTGTTCATCATTTGATAGTTTTCCATCCATCTCTTGTTGAGTAAACCCTGAGTTTATTTGCTTCATAGAGATGCTTGGATTTTCTTAGGAGAGTTCTAAAAATGACGAAGATGGCAATTGAAGGAGAAGGGAGAAAGGGACTCTGGTACTTCTGGATTTGTGCAATGAAAATTTTATAGGCAGAGTAACATTTTTGTGGATGTACTGCTTTTTGGAGATTATTCGCAAAACCATTCTGTATGCCATGCAGATGTGTTTGAGATGACTGATGAAGAAAAGCCCACACTAACAGACCTCAGAATGTGGCCAGCTCCTCTGTCTCCCCCAAACAGCTAACACTTCTTGCAGAGAATTGTCTGCCTCCCTGAAGATGGAAATCAATGACTTAGAAACCAATTAAACAATCCAAATAGCAACTGATAAATGGATTAACCCTCTATAATGAAATTCCTCTAGCTTTTGTCTTCTGCCTTCCCCAGGTAAGTTTTCTATTCCTGGAGGCAAAGCAGAGGCATGGAGTAAGTGGAGGCCAGAGGGAATCACATTAAAGTGGGTGAATCCGTTTATCACTTACTGTCTGGATGGTATTTCTGCTCACATCTCTGCTTCCTTTTTCAGATTTGTACACTATGGGACCCTGATTAATGTTAGCCAGTGAATAATGAAAGGCAGCAGCAGACACTGGGTCTGGTGAGGAGGAAGACACTCAGATGATTAAGGCTGATCCCATAAACAGAAAGACTTTTCTTCTTAGTTGCAAACAGGGAGTATGAATATGACAAAGAAATGCCCGCAATTGGGAGGGAGAAACAGAGAGAAAGGGAGGCATTTCTCTCCATGCAAATAATCTGGTCAAGGCTTCTCAAGCAGCCCCTGGAAATGGAATGATTTTGGTGCTTGAGGACAGGTGCTATTCTCCTCATAGGCTTTGTTTTCAAGGTCATGTCCCAAGATTTCTCTTTGCGTTTGTTTAAGGACCTCCATCAGGACTGGGTTTTGAAGTTAGTGTGTTCAGTTACTTGTGACGGTCTTAAGGCTAAAGACATGCTCAGTAACTCACCATTTAATCCATCTCTGGCATGAGGCTGAACCAAGTGCCTAGAAACCTGGGTCTAGAAACTTTAAGGCACTTGGGGTCTTGGGTACTTTCCATGATCAATGGGTCTGGACTTCAGGGAGATGAGACTCCCCTTCAGGGAGATTGATACCCTACCAAGATGTTTGTCCAAGTCCCCAAGAGCATCTTTGGTGTTCTTCCTGGAAATGACCACCCATCAGCGCTTCTTTGTTTTCCATTTCAGGCACAGGAAGAATATCTCCTAAACAAGAGCACCCCTCCCAATGGCATGGTCCAGGCACTGACTCTTTCTTCTCCCTCTCCTCACACTACAATGTGTGGTTTCCATCTGATGCCTGGGACCTGGGCCCACAGGGCTGATTGTTTAGGGCTGAGAGTAGTTCACTTGACCAGTACCCCTTCTGGATGGTTTGATCATCTAAGGATGCAATCAGAGGAGCAGGGGCATTTCCACAACAACACAGAGCTGGGAAATACTCTAAAAATTAATCTCTGGGTGACTTGCGAGACATTATTAGTACCATTAAGCCAGAAAGGATCTAAAAGAAAGCCTAGCCCAATTTGCCAACTTGGTTATAATAAATGCTTCTGGAGTAGATTCTACCACACTGTAGGAGGAGAAAGGGCAGCTGAAACTCATATAAGCCTGAAATCGAATGTTTTGAATGTTCCCACAGCCCAGAAAGGACCGGATGGAACAGTCATTCCCAATAACTACTGTGACTTCTGTTTGGGGGGCTCCAACATGAACAAGAAGAGCGGGCGGCCTGAAGAGCTGGTGTCCTGCGCAGATTGTGGACGCTCTGGTGAGTGTGGCCCCTTCCCACACCGGGTGCCCGTAGACCAGGAATGCTCCTCTTGCATTCCTCTTCCATCCTGTTGGTGGTGGAGACTGGAGAGGGAAGCGATGGTGGCGATGCTTTCGAGTGGAGAGGGGTTTTCAGCTCATTCCGATATTTTTCTTCTTTGGGTCTCAAGAACCAAAAGTTATGCCCTAGGATCCAGGGGAAAGGGCAAAGAGAAGTTTTGAATTTGTGTCTGGCCTTTCTATGAGGTGCATATTTCTTTGTGCATGTTTTTATGGACGACAGCAAGGTAGAGTGGAAAAACCTGGAGAGAAGGCAACATGCTTTCTTGCAGTGGATGATGCACATGTAACAGAAAGATGTGTTTGTTCTGTGGAAGCGCCTAGGGCAAACCCAAAGAGTGTGGTGTGGAAACATGAGTATTGGGAAAGCAACCACATCTTGAATTGTGGGAGTCAGAGATTCCCGGGCTCCTGGCTAGCTGCGTAAACACCACCTCATTGGCCACTCATCTCATTTTCTAAAACGGAACAGAAGATACCCTGGTAGATCAATGAGGCAAAAGGACAGACATTCCTAGGGCTAATTGGTAGTTGATTTGGTGTATATGTTTATATTTTAACCTGTTCAAAGGCTAAAATAACAGAAAGAGACTTTTGGTCTTGTTCCTTCATGCTTAAAATGAATTCAGGTCTTCAGGTTATGTTCAAGAAGTTGTTTTGTTTTTTAGTTCTAACCAAACCATTATTTTCGGCTGGCCATGGTTGGTTGGTACTACCTACTTTTCATATTGTATTATGTCATCACTAGACCACAGTGCGAGGCCGGGAGGAGGGAATTTCAACCCCATTTTTAGTCTCATCAGCCCCTGATATGAGTAGGTGAAACAGTTTGGTTGGATGCTTGGTTCCAGCAGTGAGGAGTCATTTTTCCTTTCTACCTTTCTATCCAGTGTCTTTTTCACTCCCAGTCCCCAGAGAAGAACTGAGATGACCCCATCATGGTTGACTGTAGCCACTCAGCTCTTTCCTTGCTCTGTCTGCAAAGCTTAGCTTTAACCCTTTTATATTTTGATGGGAGGGCTGTTTAGGGCTTAAGGCTGGCTTGAGTAGCAAATTAGTAATTTTAAAAGGACTGTGGTTTCTGCTGCACACAACCCTCAACGTGTAACTCTCAAGGACCCTGATAGGGCGGTCCATTTGTGCAATTCTGTCGATTCATTTACTGTCCAAACATGATACCTAACATTGAATTTTTTGCTCTACAGATGCTAGCATAGAAGACAGGGCTCTTGTGATAGCAGAGTCTGTTTTTTAAAGTTACTTAAAAAAAAAAGATGAAATTCAATGCGTGTTTTTTAAAAGCAAGCAATCAGATGAAATCTCTACTTCCAGAAGCAAGGTCACTTGGAGTGATGTTCTAAGCAACACGTTATGGACTGCTGTAGGTTTGGATGGGTTAGAGGGGGCAGCTTCAGAATTCTCACTGCAAACTGCTGTAATTTCTCCCCTTCCTTTCTTACAAAAGACAGGGTGCTAGGATCCAAGCCATGGAATGTCAGGAGTGGGAAGTTGTTTTTTCTATGCAAAGCCTCTTTCCACAACCTTCTCTCAGCTTTCCTCCCAGGGTTCTGTCTGCTATGTGGCTCAGGGAGTCATTTTCTACCAACCTAGGTATTCTCATTGCATTTGCCAAGGATTGGTTTTGGTGGATCATTTAGTCAAGGCCTGACTCTGATATTCCTGAAATAGTTGATACCATGGGAAGAAACAGGTGTCATTGGCCCCTGAGATGAGATGTGCTTGTTAAGGCAGGTGGGCGAATACTTCTCTGGAGCCTCCCTACGGTCCTTCCAGAGAAGAGTATGGAGCTTGGAAGAGCTTCCTTCCCCCTCCCATCTACCCTACCACTGCTGTTTCCTGGGAGGAAGTGAGAGTCCTGAAACTGGCACCGTGAGGGATGCATCATTCCCTTATACAAGAGCAGTCCTGGGGCTCCTTTAGAATGCGAAAAAGTTTAAACCTGAGTTTTACAGATTTCAGGATGCTCTGATTTATTAGGACTTTTCTACTCCTATTTCTCACCTTCATAGTGCCCTGAGTGAGATTTGACAACTGAACTTTCTGGAGTAACCAATACCTGGGCATGATTGGTGACTGGAGAGTGTGTATGTATGTGTGTGTGTGTGTGGGGGGGGTACACTCGCATGCACATGTATGTGGATGCAGATCACAGAAATTTCCTCCGGTAGTTAAAGAAAACAAACTCTTTTATCACTTACCACTTATGAGACTTTCCAACTTCCTTTTGCTTTCAGTGCAAATGAACGACATGGCGTAGGGGGAGAATTGAAAGGGTTCTGAAAGAATGGGATTAGAAGCGGGTAAAAATAAAAATGCAATGGATGGAGGCTTAACCACCTTGAATGGGTTATCTGACAGTAATACCTTTGTAGAGCTGACTGTCAAAGTGAAGGACAAATATTGTTCAAAGAAACACCAACAGAAAACACCAAAGAAATCCCAACCAGGTTTAAAAACCACCAAGGAAAATCATTGTCTGGGGCAGGGTTGAGTGAGCGTGCAAGCGCCTGTGTGTATGCACAACAGAGGAAAGATCATGGTTGAAGCTTTTGCTGTTGGAAGCTGTGGACATATGTACTATGGTAGAGGTGATGCCTTTTCGGGGAGTGGGGGAAGCCTCTTCCCTGGAAATGTTTGCTTTGTCCCAAATCCCCGTCACCAGGTGATGCACCAGGTTAATCCCTTTGGTGTGCAAACGGTTTAATATCTTGCTATTAAGAATAGCATTGTAATAATGTAATGAGAATATTAATAATGCTGTCTGTTGCTTAACCCATGTGCTGATATATTCATCATACATGTCAGCTCATTTGGGAGGAGAAGGCAGGAAGGAGAAGGAGGCAGCGGCCGCAGCACGTACCACGGAGGACTTATTCGGTTCCACGTCAGAAAGTGACACGTCAACTTTCCACGGCTTTGATGAGGACGATTTGGAAGAGCCTCGCTCCTGTCGAGGACGCCGCAGTGGCCGGGGTTCGCCCACAGCAGATAAAAAGGGCAGTTGCTAAACCCACGGAACAGACTCTCTGGGCAATTAGCCATCCCCCTCTGACTTTGGTCATTGTGCTGGTTCTGATATATATTTTTTTTAATGAAAGACAACTTTAGATTTTCCCTCTATCCTTGCTTTTTTCCCCCTCACCTCCCATGTGCCCCTCCATCCCTGCCCCCACCCCTCTGTTTTGGGTGTGTACAACAGAAGCACAAACTACTGAAACAAAAGAGCAGAATGAGCGTTCTTCTGAGAGATGGCATCGTGATGCGCTATTTATTTTCTATAGAAATAGGAAGTTAGGCGGATTGTCTCTTTTCTGAGGGGAGGGGGTCTTTTTGACAGGAGCAGAGTTGATGTCCTCAATTTTCATATTTATTGGCAAAAGGAAGAGAAGAGGAACTTTGGGTTCGGAAACAGAGAACCAATAACATTAAAACATTATTATTTATATATTCTAGCTATTATTAGAATCAGACTTTTTTTGAGAGAGGGAGAGAGAAGGGAAATCAAAGAAATTGAAGCAATATCCTGTTTAGAGGCAAGCCACTGGGGGGAGAATTTCCTCAATGGGAGACGGTGGCACTTTCTGTGCCCCATGGAGTTTGCGGCTCCCGGTGGCAGACCCCTCCCTCATTCTCCTCCCTGACCTTTCCATCTTCCTCTCTGCTTGCGAGAAAATGTCAGTAGTTCCAGAGAAGTTGGGGTGCCTATGCCTGGCCTCCCTCCACACCTGGGCCCTGACCAGTCGCCTCCTGGGCTCCTCCTCCTCCGTCAGTAGAGCTGCTGTTTTGTTATTGCTGATTTTTCCTCACTTTCCTCCTGGCAAAGAACGACTTCCAAATGCAGGGATGGAATATAAGCAGAACGTCACGGGCTCAGCAGTGACTCCACCACCGAGGCCGAGGCCGTGCTCCTGGAAGATAGAAGGAGACGCCACCATGTGTTTCCCCTCCCCTTGCCCTTGTTAAGAAACATATCAATACCTGTTGGATGATCAAGGCTACCGTATTTCTTCAATTTTTTTTTTATAGTGCCCGCCAGGCACTTTGTTTTATGTTTCCAATAGCACTTCCTGAAATAAACCAAAGCAACACTGCTCAAGGCCCCTGGGGTGATGGAGAAGGCCACCCACCTCACTGACAGTCCCAAGAACGACCGGCTGCGAGGTCCTAGTCAAAAGGTATGTCTTGGCTAACCTGTCTTACAATATGGGCAAAACCATCATATCTATTTTTTAGTTTTCTTTTTCTTTTTCCTTTTTCCCCCAGCTTGCTTTTTTGTTTTCCTGGGTTTGGACCCCCTTCTTAGTGTAAGAGTGGCTACTGGAGTATCTCCCCCTGGCCCTCTGGCCCACGTGTGCATGTGAACTCATGTGGACCCCAGCATAGGTGTGGGATCTGAGTCTTGCTTGGACTATGGGAGGGGCTCAGTGTGGAGAATGGCAGGCTTCTGGCTTCAACTACAAGAGAAAATGGCTAGGGAAGTGCTTGGCTAACTCTGCCTCCCTTGGCTAAATCTGGAAGTGGAGTCCAGGGAACTGAGATTGAAGTTGGCTGCTGGATTTGGTTAGAAGTAAGGAGGTGTGGCCACAGAGCACTGCATGTCTAGGTGGTATTTCTTACTCACTCTGGGTACCAATTTCACAACCAAGGGGATGAGTCCAAATTAAAGAAGATCCCTGATTAGGCACAAAACTCAACTTGGCTGTTTGGAAGATTCCGCACTCCCTTTAAGGTTGGCCAGGGTCTCCGGCCTCCAGGAGTGCACGGTTCCAGAAACACAGGGAGAACCATTTGACATGGGTTGAGAGACCCAAGTAGCTGCCTGGTTAACAGACTGCTTATCAGTGTCTCTGGGAAGATCTACTTTGACAGTCCAGCCCCTGCAGATCCTCGTGAATTAGACTACTCATTAAAATAACATACCAACCTAAAACACAAGGACAAGCAAAGAAACCCAGAAATGAACCCTTTGTGTTTCCGTGGTAGCCTGAGACAGAAAGAGCTTCCACTTTTCTCATGCTTGAGATGTGTATGTGATCACTTGCGTGTTTATTCTCAGTTTTGAGGGCATGAAAGTAACAATCCCACCCACTTTTGGGATGTTCTGTCTAATCTATATGTGGCCTGTTCCTAGGAAATATGGCATAAACCTCCAACGTTGTCATATTCTGCATGCTCACACGTGTCAATCAGACAATGAGTTTGTTCCAGTAGCTTTCTGCTAAGGGGGTACAATCTACACTTGCTATCATTTTCCACCTCTTTACTCTGTACCTTTGACTCAGATATTGGATTCATGGGATTACAACTTGCTTTCATTGATAAAATGTGAGCTTCTATGTTAATAAATATATGTTCAACCAATATACACTCATTTGAATTCTGTCTAGTTGCTCATAGATCCAGAATTCTCCGTGACAATTTGCCTTTACACTTGAGGTGTTTTGTTTTTTTTTAAAATCCATATATTTAAAGCAAATTATAAAAGGCTACCTAATTTCGGAGTCTAGCTTGGAGTCTAACAGAGAACTAACTGTTTAGAACTAACAAGGCAAACCCCCAGGAGAATGTTTATTTGAGAATGGGTATTGCTTGTCTATTTTATATTTAATAGTATAGCTTGATCTTTGATCTTCAGTTTCTCTTCTTGGAGGTAGTAGATATCCTCACCTTTCTTACTTGCGGTGATAGAAGCATAGTAAGGTTTCTTAGCATTGCTGGAGCATCTTGTCTCACCTTGCTTATAGTGTCTTTGAGCAGACTCAGGATTTCTACCCTTAAAAACTGGAAGGGACTTTTAAAATGATCAAGTTCAAATCTTTCACTTTTCAGTTGAGAAAAGTTGACCCAGAGAGGTTAAGTGAGCTAAGTTTGAGGGAGTGGAATGGGCATCGTGTTGGAGGGAAATGTTTTAAGGCAAAGGAAGGAAGCTCTGAGAGAGAAGGTATTGGAGGAGGAAGCTGGCTGTCCTGGGCTTCCAACCACTTTAGTGGTGGATGTGATATCTTTATCTCCCTTTCTCTAGATAGCAGTCATCAACATTTATGTGTGAGGCATTGTTCTGGGTGCTTTCCTTAGAATATTTCACTTAATCCTCATGACTACTCCCATGAGATAGGTGTTTATATTAATCCCCAGTTTGCAGAAACTGACGTTGGTAATAAGGTTAAGAAATGTACAGCTAGGAAGGAGCCAGGTTTTGATCCCTGGCAACCTGATTGTAGAGCCTATACTCTATCATTGCCTGCACTGACCCTTGCATAGTCTGTAATTAAGGAATATATATGCAGGCATATATACATACTTTGCTGTTTCTCAATTCCAGTGGAAGAAAAGGTTATTTGTAATGAATATAGCTTTTAAAAGGTAATGCCATTAAAAGAAATTTCAACAACTGAAGAGTAAGCAATTAGATCCTGTAAAAGAGAATTCTGATTCAGATTCTCTGCGGAATATTGTAGATAACTTACTTTCTTAATCATTTCTAGACAATGTACAAAGAGATCGCCTTTTTTTGTGATCTCAGGAACTGTAGGAGCTGTGTGAACAGTCAACACACCTTTCTGTTGTTGCTTTTGTTAAATAAGTATCACTACTCAAAATTTAAAATACACAAGAAATTAGAGTCTTCAAGATGAAAACGATCTGACCAGCTTCCTTAGCCCTCAGCTCAGTAAAGTACCACCCTGAGTTTTCTGAATCCCAGGCCAAAGAGAGGGGAACCAAAGATACAGAACTTTCTAAATTTGTTACAACATTTTAATCCCCTGGGGAGGGGGACTATTGATGTAAAGGTGACAATTGTTATGGTCTAGCTGATTTTTTTCCCTACTTAGAACACTCGAATCCTTTATTTCTGTTACTGAGAGGCTATGTAAAGATCAAACACTATAATCACTATAATCCTGGGAATTAGAAATATGCATTTAATTTTTTAAAGGTACTTTAAAGACAGTAATCCAATTTGCTACTGGTATTTTGGAGAGAAGAATTTATTTAAAAAATGTGATGTTCACAGCAACAGCCTCCCTTTAAGGGTTCCTGCTCCCTCTGCATCTCTCTGTGTACCTGATGGGCTGCAGACTGATACTGCTTTCTACAGCACTGGAGGGAATGCAAGATCATTACTCAGGGGGAGAACTAAAGGGTGTTTGGGGGTTCTCACTTCATGGTGGAATAAAATTAATTAATTTTATCCCAATATGCTTCCTGTTACATCTGATGAATATGATCTTGAACATGTACTTAAAATTGGAGCAGACTCATCTGTTAGAATCTTTTCCTCAGGGGATTTTGCTCAGCCTTTGGAGGAGAAGTGACTTGTGTTGTGTATTTTCAGAGTGAGGTGTCTTTGATCTGGTGTGTGGAAGCCTAGAGTGGGGATGACAAGTTCTGGGCTCTGGGCTCAGCTCTCTGTGTGAATTTGTTGACAGGGATCTCTGCCTCAGTTTCTTAGAGAGGAAATGGACATTTCTTTCCCTATTAGAATATGTAGCTCATATTATTTCATGATGATGCTTAACTCTATGAGGTAGGGTAGATGTTATTTATTCCTCTTTTACTGATGAGGAAACTGAGTGTTGATCCTGTTTGATGACTTGTCTAAAGTTTCAGGCTCAGTCAATGATGTAGGGATCTTTCCTCGGTCTATACTGACTTCCCCAAAGATCATCTTTGGAAGATTTCTTGAGTGAAATCAATAAAGTACATATAGGTCTTTTATTCAAGAACTTATTGGATGATAAGGAGGTATTTGATGCTGTAAAAGAAAAAGACCAAAACAACACAGACCCCGAATGAAACGATGACACATTAGAATCTTTCTGAGAAGTAGCAATGTCTAAGTCCTCATGAACTTTGTGGGAGAACCAAAGTTGAGCTTCCTAAATGGCCACTGTTTTTGTGAGGCCAGCGGTAGCAGGGGTGATGGTGGCAGGGAGTGAACATTTTGGGCCCTGGTCACAAGCCCAATTGCTTCTAACACAAAAACATTGAATTACATAATATTGTGGTGTTTAATAAAAGTGATTTCTGATCATCTATTCAAGATAACAATATAAGAAAAGCCATTCTGCATGATTGGTTTACAAAATAAATGAGAGTGATGTAAGATTCCTGTCAGAACTGAATTATTAGATAAAAAACATTGGCAATTAGGTTTTCAAAGTATCTAACTACTGGAACTCAACCTATAACTATAGCTTTTTAAAAAATTTACTTCTGAAATAATTTTACACTTACAAAAAACTTACAAAGATTATACCAAGAATTCCCGTATGTCCTTCACCCAGATTCTTCTAATAACCACAGAACAATGACCACAATCAGGACATTAACATCGATGCAGTACTGCAACCTACAGACTTTATTCAAATTCTGCCAGTTGTCTCACTTGTGTCCTTTTTCTGGTCCAGGATCCAGTCTGGGATCAAAGGTTGTCATGTCCTCTTACAAGTCCTTTAATCTGGAATAGTTAGTACCACAATCTTGTTTTTCACAACTTCGATACTGGCTAGTTATTTTGCAGAAAGCCATTCAGTTCAGGCTTGGATGCTGTTTTTCTAATGACTAAACTGAAGTTGTGCATTTTGGCTAGAATACTGTAGAAATGATGTTGTATCCTTCTCAGTGTGTTACATCAGGAGGTATGCGATTGATTTACCCCGTTACTGGTGACTCAGACATTTGGCCTTTCAGCTGAGATTTCAGGCTAGTCTGTTTATAGACCTTGGACGATAACATTTTCATTCAGATATACCTTGGTTCATTTGGTAACTAGGGACTGAGTAATAGCAGTATGTATGTGACTGATCAGCACTGCGAAGGATAGGATACAATTAAACATGGGGCAATGAATTTATTGGCCATTGAATTTATTTTGTGGCCTAGTAGATCAGACTAGAAATTCACAAATAGTTAAAATCCTGTAAGAGCTGTCATGGGGTAGTATGTGATTATTTTTGCCATAGATGTCAGTAGACAAGAAGATTTTCTTGGAGGAAGCCATCTAGATCAACAAAGAATGCCAGACTCACCATTGCTGTTGAATCTGTAGGCAAGAATGTCTATTGTCAGAGAAAATGGAGATAATATTCAAACAAAAAGCAAAGCTGGGAATCACAACCTAACCCATGTAAAATGGCAAAAATCACCATTTGAAAACCTGCCTAAGTACCATTCCATAGCGTTTTGTTCCTGCTGCTCCTGTGCTTATCACAACACATCATGTTTGCTTGCAGTCCTTCTCAAACAGATGGCGTGTTCCTTGAGGGCAAAGGTGATATCACTCATGTCCTCCAGACAGTGCCTGACACCAATGTGCCATAATTATTTGTTGAAATAAATTAAGAACTGAGCAGTTTCTGAGCTAATTAGTGGAAGTCTTACCAATCTCACTCTATACCTAGTGGATGCTTAATAAGTATTGTTGACAGAAAGATTGGAGAAGTCTCTGGACACAGCATCCAGTGGTTAAGTCAGAGCGGGTAGGTGGGAGGTGGTGAGGTGGTGGTGATGGGTAAAGGAGAGAAAAGGGGATGTCAGGATAGGGGTGGGGAGGGGTTGACCATGTGTGGAGGGATAGAAAACTATGCCTTCTTGCAGGGGATTGAGAACAGGAGACTAACACAGCTGCACATTGTTCCATTTTTATGGCCTATGGTTGACCTAACCGGAGGAAACAAAAGAGAAAATGGAAGTTAGGAGTGCCAAGTTGGGAACTCACCCATGATTTTCTAGGTGGCTTAAGTGGGGCAAAGAAAAATACATGCATGTGTGTGTTGGGGGTCAGGGGTAGAAATCTGAGGAAACTGAAAGGGCGTGGGGTAAGCTTATGAGACAGACTCACTACAGAGTGGCAGGTAACATCTGGCCAGAGGGGTCAGGGCAATGGGAGAGGGACAGAAAGACTCCTGGCAGGAAGTGAAATGATGACAGATGCCCATGGAGAGAACAATCGGCAGGCGTTTTGTGGGAGGTCCCAGGGAAGGTCACCTGGCTTTGATCACTCCAGGGAAGGAGCTGGAGGCAGGTGGTGACAGCAAAGAGCATGAGGGAAATGGGGGTGGGGTGCACCAGCAAAGCAGATCAGAAAAGGAGACAGTGGGGTGGGATGGGGTAGACGCAGAGAACAGGAACAGGTGTGGAGGGAGGACTTGGTCAAGGAGGAAAGTTGGATGGAGGGAGTCTCAGCTTTGGAAGAACCTCTAATCCAGGCCTGTGCACCTGGCCATTGAGTGATACCTTGGGTACCAAGAGAGATGGGACAGGGGAGAGACCTTTCAACTTGGAAGAGGCTGAGCTGCTTATTTGCTTTTGAACTTTCTTCCTGCTGGCTTGGGCATTTTCCATTTAGGCCCATTCTCCCTCTCCTCCCTCCCTCATGGCTCAGCTTAATGTGATCTGGGCACTGTTGGGACACCCATCTCTGCCTTCAGAAACTGCTTCCGGGGTGAAATGTGATAGTACTTGGTTTTATTGCTCACTCCTTTGTGTCAACTACTCCGTTCCAAAGACCAAAATGACAGATTTCATTTCAGCTAGAAGCAAAAGCTACGTGTGGCTATGCAGGCAAAAGGGCCCACCTTGTGTGAACCACCACCAGGTTCCAAGGCTGACAAAGAGATCACTGGGCTAGTGGAGGACTGGAACAGGTCTCTTGGTTGGGGTCTCTCTCCGAATAATTCTGACACACTTGAATCACTTGGGGCAGGGTTGGAGCTGAGCGTGTGTGCTTGTGGAGGAAGCAGTGTCCTTTTGGGCTTAGGCCAAATGAGGCATCTGATGGGGTTTTCTGTGGCTGCATTGGTTCTATACTATAGAACTATTCATTTCTACTTGGATAACAGGGAGAGAGATGATATCATAAAGGTCCTTTCTGGGGTGTTTTAACTGTGAAAAGATTCAGTTTGTTTGGTTTCCAAGTGGAAGGGAATTTTTTTTTTTCTAATACCCAGTTCTGCCTGCTACACAACCTGGGAATTGAAAATCCAGCTGTGTTCTCTCTGCCTCTTGCCCAGTAGCAACTGACCTGCCTCATTCCTGGCTGATCTTGTGCTGCTGAAGTTCAAGGCGCTGGACACACTACCTTGATTTTTGTTGCACCTGGCCTAGCCTCATTAACTTGGCAATTAGTTGGTGGTTTTCTTTCTTTCTTCTTCTTTTTTTTTTTTTTTTAAATTCATTTCATTTCTGTCACCCCTTAATTTTAATCTTTCTGTTTTAGGTAGTTGTTCCATGCTGTTGTTTTTGTTTTATCTTTCATTGCCTTTCCCTCTGCAGTCAACACTATGACCTGGGGACTCCAACATCCTTCAAGCAAGCCATTTCCGAAGAAGGTGAAAAGAAGCCAGGATGATTGGCACCTCCTCCTCCTCCTCCTCTTCTTCCTCTTCCCTTACCCAGCCCCCTCCTGTGCGTGTGTTTCAGACAACACAGGAGCTAGCACAGGAGTGGAAAATCCTGCAGCGCAACTCAGCTCAGCCCACAGAAGCCTCGGGAATGGCCTCAGTTTGTGCAATAAGAAGATTTTTTTTTCTTTTTAAAATTCTTCATTATATTTTCTTTGATTGTCTGTGAGAAAGTACCCAGGTCAGCCTGGAAATGCTCTACAGTAGAAATAACTGAACACAAACAAACTGATGGAAAAAAAGAGTTAACTATTTTATTTATTTCAATATTTAAAAGGAAAAAAGTGCTGACATTGCACAGTATTTTTGTTTAAAGTACCTCCTACTTCAAAAGTTAAACGCAATTTTGTGAAGACGTGAAATCATGAGTACTTAATGTAAAATAAAAGACTGCATATTAACTCTAAAGAAAAACACCCCACATTTTTAATAAGAAAATAAAGATCAACTCTGCTCTCTCAGGCTTTTTAAAAAGCCATTCATGTATGTGCTTTAGGTATTTTTATTTCTGCGAGTTGGATGTGGTAAGTGAGGAGTGATCAGTGTTTTTTTTTTTTTTCCTCCTTCAAAAGTCTATTGAAAGTGTTGGTGATGTTACATGATTGTGTGTTAAGACTTGACTGAAATAACTTAGCCACAAATCAGCAGTTTTCCCTACCCTCACTGCCCCCTCACCCCAGGCAAGCCCCTTTTATCTGAATGTCAGAAGCAGCCTGCCTCCTGGTTATCATGTCTGATGAGGTCTAGCTCAGAAAGGAATTCCATCTAGTGATGGAATATATCCCCTCAAGTTCAAAAGATTCGAACACAGAGAACTTTGTTTAAAATAATGCAGCAAAAAAAAAAAAAAAAAAGCAAAAATAAAAGCATCAGCTGAGATGATATTAGTTCAGTCACCTAACAACTCCTAGAAGAGATGAGGAAGGGAACCTTTTGCTGAGCTGGCTTCTGGGGCCTGAGCTTCCAGAGCTGTCCCCAAGGGCTAGGAAGGTCGACCTGAAGGATGAGAACCTCAATTCTGTTGCTGGTTGGGGCCAAGGAAGAGGCTAGTGTTCTAACATGGCCCTTTCTGGCCGAGCTGGCGGAAGTGGGCATTTTGGCCGATGGGATGTATCTTGGCGTTGTGTCTGGGGCCCAGCAAAGGTGCAGGGCTGGCTGGCTGAACCACTGGGTTCTACCTGCAGGCTCCCCGCTGCACTGGGCTTTCACACCGCCATGCTCTTGGATCTCCCTCCCTTGTAAGTAGAGTCACAATAACACACGAACAGTCTAAGTCTGAGTATTCTGGTCAGCAGAGGTCCTTGAGTCACAGTGTTACTGAAATGGTTCTGAGCCTGAGAATCTCTTCGGCCTCTGAAAGGGCAGGGCAGGTGGGCACGGACTTCCTGCCAGTTCTTTCAGGTTTCCGGTTCAAAGCCAGTCCTGTTGGTGGAGGGGATCACCGAGAGTGTCTGTATCATTTTGTGGCCCTTTTCTCTGACGTTTTCTGGTAGAAAATGTCCCTTGTCAAAATGCTAATAATTATCATAATAATCTGCTTTCCAACCAACTCCCACAAGTGATAACTTGTGTAGAATTGTGATAAAGGTTTGCATAATGTAGGGTTTGTACCAAGTGTGTGTAAGTTTCTGTTAAATAAAATCTGTTTCCAATGCTCCTATAGCATCTCTGTAAAATTTGCTTGACCAACCAAGCTCATCCTGCGTGAGTTCACTTTCACACCACCATGCGGCAGGGACTCCTGAGATAATTCTTCCTACTTGCGTGCCAAGTTTTGTTGAACCTTGTTGCTTTATTTACATGCATGGTCTAGAACAGCAGTTGCCACTGGCTTGGCTGACAGATGGTGGCCTGGAAAGCGAACAATGCCCAGGGTTGGTGCCAGTGTTCGTTCTCTGAGCCCAGGGTTGCTGTCACCCACTCCCCCATCACCATCACCGTCATCATCGCCATCACCGTCATCATCGCCATCACCATCATCACCCTCTCCATAGCCAAAATGGATTGATTGAAAGCCTGATTATGTGAACCGACTTAGTATACCTATCTAAGGTTGCTGTCACACCTGTGCCAAGAATAGAAGTTTTGCACAAAAATGCAAGATTTAGTGTGTACTAGAATAGGTGGGAGGTTAAGGTTTTCATCACCTGAAAGGTGCTGTTGGTGTAGCCTCCCAAGCTGCCGGTTGGTGCAGCTGTAAGCTGGAACCCCTGGGGTAGGCTTTCCTTGTGTGCGAAGATGGGCCCTCTTATCTGATGGGTCCTCTAAGTCAGACAGAACCAGGTGAGCATGTCAGGCCAGGTCTTGACCTTTGAGCATTGCTGGCCCCCAGTGGGGCCAAGTGGAGATGAACATGACACTGTAATGCTGCTGCTAGTGTACTCTATCTTTCTTTAGACTGAGTGTCACGTTATGACTCGCATTATGGACTTTGTAAGTTTTCCTAGCAGTAAAAAGAAAGCCCCACACCAATATGGTGCCCTCCTTAGGGTTTTTTTTTCCTTTTTATTGTGATGAAATATGCATTACATAAAATGTGCCTTTCTAACCACTTTTAAGATACAGTTCTGTGGCATTAAGTACATTTACATTGTTGTGCAACCATCACCACCATCCATCTCTAGGATTTTTTCATCTTCTCTAACAGAAACTCTGTACCCTTTAAACACATACTCCCCATTCCCTCCTCTGCAGCTCCTGACACCCACCATTCTACTTTCTGTCCCTCTGAATTTGACTCCTCTAAGAACCTCGTGTAAATGGAATCATACAGCATTTGTCCTTTTGTCACGGACTTATTTCATTTAGTGTAATATCTTCAAGGATCATTTACGTAGATGTGTCAAATGTTCCTTACTTTTGAAAGCTAAATAGTCTTTCATTGTATGTATAAACCACATTTAGCTTATCCATGTATCTTTTGATGAACATGAAGTAAAAATGAAGTCTCACATATTTATTACACACCACCCACTTCCTATAAGTGACTCAAAATTTGAGACATTAGGTTCAATTCAGAAGTCACCTAAGGGATCAAATATCTTCTTCCATGGCAAGCGATTGCACCCTCTAATTTACTCCCTAGAAAAGAGGACCTTGATTGAGGGGCCAGTGCTTCCTACCTAGAGTGTGTCTTTCCTCATGACTCGGACTTTTTTGCAGATATTATCTTTGGGCTGCTTACAGGGATGAGAGGTCTGGCATGAAGTTGTACTCTCAATGTAAATAACTAAGGATAGAGGAGATCCAGGATGATCAAATGTCCATAATGGTGGGCCATGAGGACAGGGACTGACTTTTTCAAGTGTCTGATAATGGGTTGTTGGCCAAAAATGATGTGCTTTCTGTCTATAGATGGTCACTGACCAAGAGGGAGGGCAAAAGTACACACATGGACCAGAGAATGAAAAAGAGAGAAAGAAATCATGTTCCTCATCCACTTGGAAACATGTAGTTACCACAGATGGTTAGCTCTGGGGTTGAAAATCAGATGCTGACAGAGCAGGTATCTTTGGTGAGCGAAGCAGGGTAGGTGTGACAAAAATGACAATGCCAGAGAGATGTGGAACAGCCCTTGAGGCTCAGTCTCAGGTCACAGGGAGACAACAGGAGTGGTACGGAGTGTCTCGAGCCGGGAAACACCTGTGCTTCCAATGGGGCAGCTGCGACTCAACTCAGGGTATGCAGCCTGCAGGAGGTGGGCCCAGGGTTCCCAGCTCTTCTGGTTTTTCAAGGGAGGTCACAATTTAAACATTTTGATGAGATCTCCCCATTTTTCAGTGTTGGTGATAAATGAAAACTGAAGATCAGCTTTGAGTGCCCTAACTGAACATGACCATGTGCCTACCAGGCACACTTAGATGGCTTTGGGGCAGCTTTTCCCAGGGGCTTCCAGTCTGGGTAAGGTGGAAGTTGAGGTTGGAATAGAATCTTGTCCAGATTCTGATAACAGCGGATCTTTGTCTGAATCTATGGCTGCCTCTAGCAGTATCCTGACTTAGGATTGTTATGTGGTGGGAATGGGTCGGTCCCTGGATCGAGTTAGGTCATTATTCAGGTCCCTGGGTCGGTCTCTGGATGGAGTTAGGTCATTATTCAGCACATGTTAGGGGTGATTTAGGATATGGTTCCACCAGAAAACATTCCCCTATCCGTTCCCTTTTCCTCTGCATGTCCATGGAAGACCTTCTCTTTAGAACTCTGGATAGAGTTGTACAGTTTAGAGATTTTTAAAAAATTCAGTTTATTCTTATTGATGACCATTTGTCTACTACATCACTTTCCTTTTACCCTTCTTTTCTAAGAAACTCAAATCACTCCAGGTAACTAGAACCATATTTGAGTTTTATTATATCCCTAAATCAGCAATTTCAGAACTTCCTTTCATTAAAAAAATCCTTCCAGAATTTTAATTTAAATTAATTTTGAAGTATTTTATATATAGTTTTTTACAAATTTTTTAATTAAAATTTTTGTGGGTACATAGTTAATGTAGATATTTATGGGGTACATGAGATGTTTCAATACAGTCATGCAATGTGAACATAAGCACTCATGGAGGATGGGGTATCCAGCCCCTCAAGCATTTATCCCTTAAGTTATGAACAATCTGATTACACTCTTTACATTATTTTAAAATATACAATTAAGCTACCACTGACTACAGTCACCCTACTGTGCCATCAAATAGTATTTTATGTTTTATACGTTTCTTATTTCAGAGTATACTTTGTAAGAGAGTTAGGCTGGCTTTTCAGTATGCAAACACTACTAGCTGGGGTCACGGTTGTTTTCTGGTTTTGTTTTCTTTTGTTGGGTTGGAGAGGAGGTTATTGTGAATAAGCAGTTTATTTGCCTTGTCATTTATAATGGGGATCAGCAAATTTCTCCTGTAACACACCAGATAGTAAGTATTTAAGGCGTTGTAAGGCAGACATCTGTCACAACTACTCAGCTCTGGGTGAAGCATGAAAACAGCTGTAGAGGATATGTACAGGAATGGGTGTGGTTGCATTCCAATAAAACTTTATTTACAAAAATAAGCAGTTGGTCAGATTTGGCCAACGAGACATAGTTTGCTGATCCCTAATTTAGAAATAGAGAGTATTGCACTGCTCAGTTGGGGGTGGTAGGGGTAATGGGGCATTTTCTAAGCTTCAGGACTAAGGAAAGAGAATTTCACATTACCAGGTGAAAGGCTACGGACGCATTTCATGATCAGTACTGTAAGCTGTTTCATGGCCAAATGCAAAAAATGTTTCACAGCCAGAAAAATCTCACCACAGTTTTGGAAAGCTCTCTACTAGTTTTTCTAGTTTTGGTACAGAGTCCAAACTGCAGTAGTGCAATGTTTACCACAAGTGTCTATGAATAATCCAGCCGTACATAACAGTGACTCTCTGTTATGGACATCATGACTAAGATTATTCATCTCTAGCAACTTGGGTCTTATGAGTTAAGTGAACATAGACAGTAGAGTTTCATCTGTAGGAGACAAATGATAGGGGACATTGAGTGGGGACCAAGTTGGGGGATGTGGAGTTGTTGCCGTTAGAGAAATGGTCTCTTTGTGGTGAGCACAGATTTTTTTAATGGCTGTGGCTCCTTAACGTGGTTAATTATGGGATGTTGAGGATGTTGCTGAGATATATTTCTTCCTAAGTACTTGGATTCTTCATATTCAGAATCACATTTTCCCAACTTCTTACTTCACCTTCCAAAACAACCAATAAGATAACATGTTCTTCCTTGGATGGTGGAGAAGATTACTGATATCAGACCTCCTACTGAATTGAAACCTTCTTACTAGTTGCACATGGAATGGTCCTGAAGGGTGGTCGATGAGCTAGTCACGATAGGTGGTAGTAGTCAAGCTAAGTTTATTGAAGAGATGCTCTTTAGCCATTCTTAGTGGATACTCCACTGTGCTGAGAGGACCAGTGACTTTCAGACCTCAGGATAGCTTTCAGTGGGGTTTATTGCTGAGTTCCACCAGTTACCTCTAAGTTTCCTGAAAACGGGCAGTGTTTGGGATAAGCATGTTAAATATCTGCTTCATTTTCTCCAGGCTGTACTCTGTGATCACATATGAAGTCACCCAGAAGTTAGTTTTCAGGCATAGACCAGGAGGAGAAAGAGTCTTCAGACTAAAAGTTAGAAAATGCTATGCTTTGTATATTACTAAACATGGTGTGAACAACACACATCTTTTGGTTACCTGATCTTTCTTTACACCAGACTAGGAACTACTGTTTTGAGAGGTGATGACAGTGGTCATGAATAGTTTAGCATTAATCTGCTTGACCAAATTATGTTGATTTTATTATTGGCCATCACCTGGCAAGGCACAATTATAGCTGAGATAGATCTGGAAGTCATAGTGGAACACAAGCTGGAGGAGTATTGTGTTGTTTATTTTTAATAAAGCATGATAACCAGGCTGTGTTAAGCTGGGGATGATGTGGAAGATCTGGTAAGCAATGCTCCAGCTCTATTTAACATTTGACACCACTGTGTTTGAATTAGCTGAAAAAGACTGTGGAAAATCCAAAACGTGCAGAAAAGCGTATTAACAATATGAATTTAACAGGATGAATAATGAGCCCTTTAAGGAAAAGTTTGTGGATTTGGGGTTGTTTGACTTGGGGAAAATAATTAGGGGT